TGTGATCTATTGCAAAAGTTGCCTTAACATAGTCCGACCTCAAAGTTATTCGAAATAATTTCAAAATCCTACATGCAATACTTACAGATAAACAAATATGGATAAACTAACATTTAAGTTCGGAAAACGTCTACCTCCAAATTGAACTTCTCCTAAACTCTATTATGGAATTAGACATTTCGTTACTTAACTCAGTTATAGTTAACTAAGCATCGTATTTGACTCGACAATAATGTTTATCGTACATTTTATGTTTCATATTAATACGAGCATGAGTTCGCAGTTCGAAAGCGTCGACGTAAGCGCGTGTGTGAAATTGTACGGTTGTTCGTAAGTTATAGTGATGTTGTTGTAGGGATGTCGAAAGTTGAAAAAAATATCGATATATCGATACATCGATTTCTTAAAAAATATCAATATCGGCTTCGATATATCGCGAAAAAAACATCGATATATCGGAACAATTTTCCCAAAAATATCGTACAGTAGCTCACGAAATATGACAAGCGGAATAATAATGGAACGAAAATTATCTCCCTAAAAATAGACCCTATTTTCGAATGATGACATAGACAATACTAAATACAGCACAGATCATAGATATGTTGAATATCATTAATCTGAGATCCAGTTACGATTTTTCCAGATACGAATTTAGTTAGATCGTGATATGCCGCTCATAATTAAAAAAATATCGTTTTTTATACGAATTTCGATATTGGTTATTTTGTATCGATGTATCGATATATCGAATCAAAATATATCGGCAAAAAATATCGATATATCGAACAAAAAACATCGATATATTTTCAACAAGCCTATATTGTTGTGGGCGGGCGGGGTTGCGCAAGAGTGGCCTCAAGGACCTCCTTATGAGGCCGTCAGTAATTGATAAAATAATCTATTATTGGTGTGGTGACGTATTGTCAAGATGAGCAGGTTTCGTCGTAAAATTCACGGCCACTAGGTCCTCAATTCTGGGAATTTAAACGCAACAATGAAATGTCAATAGTAAAAATCTTGATATTTACGTAATCTGCCGTATCCAGAATTGGTTATAAGCCGTATATTTTAACTCTTTACTAGCAGGGCGGTATAAGGAGATTTCGTTAAATAGCATTTATGTCAACCACATCTTAAATAAATAAATATTTCGAACACTCACACCAATTAGCCTATCCCCAAAGTAAGCACTGTAAGGCTTGTGTTATGGGATACAAGGGTAACGGATAGAATGCATATACTGTACATATGTAAGTATATTTATATAGAAATACATATTTAAACATCCATGGCTGGAGTACAAATGCTCGTATTCATCACACAAACATCTGCCCCCACCGGGATTCGGACCCGGGACCTCTCGAGTCGGCGACACCATGAAACACGGCGTACAAACCATTCGGCCACGGAGGTCGTCAAAAATTTATAGTTGTATTTTTTAGTTTCTTGTCTAGGAATGAATTCTGGATTACATAATTTTATTATGATTTCTGAAGTACTTGCTTAAGTCCTGACAAAATATTTTGTATAAATCCAACATCTAAATTGTACTGAGATAAATTCTATCTTTAAGTACCCTGGAACCTCATCGGCAGAAACACAACACCCTCAAAATGTTGTAATAGAGTATTCGTGGCTGGTAGAGACTGGATCACCAAGGCCAAAGATAGAAAAAAATGGAGTAAAATGGAGGAGGCCTTTACTCGCTGAGGGGTCCTTTATAAATAGAAAGATGTGTATTGACAATTTTTTTCAATAAACCTAGTTTTTTACGGGTTAATGCACGAAACTTTTTGTTTTTGTATTTTATTTTCAATAAAGTTTCGTGCATTAACCCGTAAAAAACTAGTTTTATTTAATGAGTGATGTGCGTGAAAACCTAAAAATCATTTTATTTTTAATTATAATTGACATGTTTGTTATTGATTGACTAAATATTGGACGTGTACTGAATGATTGACATGTATATTTAATATTTATTAAGGAAATAAAAAGGCTAAAATAATAATAATAATAGAGTATTCAATAAGGTGGCTTCCCTAGACGAGGCGCTATTATTCAGGCGCAAAATTCTTGTCGCAAAATATTTTTCTTTGCTCTTTACCTATATCAAAATGATCAAATCCCAAATTTTGGACTTCTTTTGAAGCTTTTTAATAGTTTGCAGAAGGTTTTCAAGAAATTTAAAATAAATATCACGTTTAATTGTATATGGAACTCCCAGCCCCTAATTATTAATATATTTTATTTTGTTTTAAGTATTTTAGCGGCAACAGAAATATACCATGTGTGAAAATTTGATCTGTCTAGCTAACACGGATCATGAGATATACCCTGTTCAATTCAATTTAATCCAATTCATTTGCATTAAATAGGGTACAAAGACTGGTGTTACATTTAAACTAAATTGTATCTCAATCTATTTAGTCATAAAAAGATAACATGCAATTTTTTCTATTCAATTACCTATATAAATGTCAATAATTCCCATTAAAATATTATATTTATTTAATGTTGTCAATTTATTCATGTCAATAATTATGTGGATGTCAAAATTATAATTTTGTCAAGAATCAAAATTAAATGTAATATTTAAACCCATTAAGCATGTCCTTAACCCGTGCATCAACTCTTACCATACTTCGTGAACTCAACCATTCTGTAAAACACGTTTTAATTTAACCACTTGCGAAGTTTTGACTTGCAGTAATTTAAGGTTGGCTTTTAATTTCTTCTGGAATTTGATTATAAATTTTTACGTTTTTATTTTAAATGCCGGTGCATTTGAAATCGTTTGTTTGGGGAACTGTGTCCATTTTTGTTATATTAGGATACCTTAGATTTCGATCTATCTGTTACATCTTTTGCGACTGTATACAAATGGTAGTGCTGCTTTACAAAAGTTGCTATTTCCAAATTATACAAAGAAGTCAACTATAACTAAGTTAAAATATTTAAATCCTTGAAATATGTTGTACAAGAAACATCCGGGGCTATGTTACAAATCGCCCGTATACACCTTTTTTGGCATACAAATTCTCTATAAAAATAATACAAATAATGTTGACAAGCAGACAGAAAAACGGACAAAGGAGTCTTAGTAATACGGTCCCGTTTTGACCCTCTAGGTACGGAATCCTAAAGAGACAAAGACGTCACAAATCTGATATGAATCGATTAATCTTGGTATCGGGTTGTGTGATGCAACCCCATCCGTCACCGTGCCATTGAGACATGCCTCTCTCGATTTCAGTCTGACTAGAAATTTTTCATCAGATCCGGGAACTAATGAGTTTTACATTTTAATTGTGTTCTGCAACATTTTCGTCATGAAGGGGAAAACTGTTATTAAAATATCTAATTAACTAGCTGAAAACAATTAACTAGCTGAAAACAATTAACTAGCTGAAAACAATTAACTAGCTGAAAACCGCAGGGTAAAACTGTACTTCCAGGGCCCAAAAGGTGATACTTGTTTTTTTTTGTAGAAAAGGTCTTTTTAACAGTTTTTTTTTCTGGCGCTTCGCCGGCCGCTGCCGCGGCACGCTCGCTTTGCTCGCTCGGCTCGCGCGTTATGGTCACAACACTAGCCTAACCTAACCTAGTGTGAAGTATCACCACTTGATAAGAAAAGTAAAAATTTTCAATATTTTTTTCTAAAAAACTACCAGTGCATAAGTGTGACATTTTTTTTAATAATGTGGTTAACAGAAACCTTTTTAACAACAAAAATGCGAAATTACAACCAACAAAACTGTGAAGTTTTTACTTTTGGGCCCTGGAAGTACAGTATATCCAACCGCAGCTTTGTTCGCGTTATGAATAGTTTATTGAGAGTGTAGTGTAACGTGTTGGTACTAACATATAAAAAAATATTTCAATTGACCGTAGACCTGAATATCTGGGGGCCATTCGCCTAACGGAAATGCTTTGGAAAATATTGTTAATTCTGACTGCCGAAGGTTTTCAAATACCTTACGCTCATATCTTTAATATTGTTATTACCAATGCAAAAGAAAAAAAAAAGCGCGAGGCATTTGAAAACCTCAGGCGGCTAGAAATAACAAAATGAAATCGTAAGCGTTAGCGTTTTAAAAAGCATTTCCGTTAGGCGAATGGCTCCCTGGTTTCAACTCTGTACCTCAATGCATTTACAATAATGAAAGCTCTTGACAGACAGATGGATGGATGGACAGACGGACAACAATGTGATCTTATATGCTAAGGAATCCTAAAACCTAAAAAATGTCTTCAGCCCTCCTACTGGAAGATTTTTTATAATAATTATGATAAATAAATCTAGAAATGTGAATACCTACGCTTGTATTAATGTTATGCCACAATTAGTCATAACATCAGAGTTAATTTACTAACACAGTGCATGTACATTAGAAACTTGAATTGGTCGTTGAAAGCAATAATTGGAAGGTCAAATAATTAAAAAAATCTCGAGTCCAGGTATTTAGAAACTTCAGTAATAGTTAATTAATGAAAATTCATGAGAAATTTAAAATAATATTTTTTTTTGTTTATGAGAACACCTCGGGCACAATTCGTGTTTTTACAATTAAAAATAATTATTATTTTGGATTTTTCTATATATCTTAATATTAACTATAACTAAAAATTACAAAATTCTGAAAAAATAAAGCACTCCTACTTAAAGAAAAGTTTTTCTAGAAAAAAAATCCACGCGGACCAGGCAGCGGACGGGACTCGAACCCTTTTCTAAAACTTTTCTTTAACATAAGTACAGTTAAATGCTTAAAACAAAATAAAAACACTCCTATTTATACAGAACAATAGCAATCAATAACATTAATCAAAGAACCCTTAACTTGATTAGGTGCCTATATTTATTAATGATAATAACTATTTTCGGTATGTAAAAAAAAAACAATCAATAAAATATAAAAAAAAAACTCGAAAAACTTTTTAATGTCACCTAAAATTTTATTGATCCTTATTACTGAATTAAAATTTAATAAAAAACTCACCGACTGCCATTTCAACTGGAACTTATTGTTCGTTTTCGATTTATTTAAAATATTTGATTAACCACCGTTAGCACATGTTAGGCGTCTATACCGCGCGCCCTCTGTTATGTAACTGTGGCGGGTTGACTGCAGGCTGCGCGGGCGCAGCAACGATATTAAAGACCTCCTGATAAGATGCTGCGTCCGACATGCACCACTGGCAATTGCGTTCATTCATTGGCAATACGAGTATAATGGAGTAAGTATGTTAAAAATAATTGTCCAGTCTATTGTAATTTTTTTTCGACAGATAGAAATTAATGAGTGGATATTTGGCAATTATAATATCACTGATGTTAATAATTTAATGTAGGTATAAGGTTATTGTATGAAACAATTTCCATTTTCATTATATAATAAATTATAAAAAGAACGTAAATTATAAGGGAATTAATAATAATCATAATTAGCCTATTAATGACCCCACTGCTGGGGCACAAGCCTTATTTAATGGTGGAAGTGGAAGATTGATGGATGCTATCAGCTGCAGATGCATCTGGGACCAACGGCTTAACGTGCCTTCCTAAGCACGAAGGAGCTCGAGATAGTAAACTTTTGATTACCCATCCAATGACCAACCACTGTGAAAGTTCTATCGGCTGCAGATGCATCTGGGATCAACGGCTTAACGTGCCTTCCTAAGCACGAAGGAGCTCGAGATAGTAAACTTTTGATTACCCATCCAATGACCGACCACTGTGAAAGTTCTATCGGCTGCAGATGCATCTGGGACCAACGGTTTAACGTGCCTTCCTAAGCACGAAGGAGCTCGAGATAGTAAACTTTTGATTACCCATCCAATGACCGACCACTGTGAAAGTTCTATCGGCTGCAGATGCATCTGGGATCAACGGCTTAACGTGCCTTCCTAAGTACGAAGGAGCTCGAGATAGTAAACTTTTGATTACCCATCCAATGACCGACCACTGTGAAAGTTCTATCGGCTGCAGATGCATCTGGGACTAACGGCTTAACGTGCCTTCCTAAGCACGAAGGAGCTCGAGATAGTAAACTTTTGATTACCCATCCAATGACCGACCACTGTGAAAGTTCTATCAGCTGCAGATGCATCTGGGACCAACGGCTTAACGTGCCTTCTTTAGCACGAAGGAGCTGGAGATAGTAAACTTTTGATTACCCATCCAATGACCGACCACTGTGAAAGTTCTATCAGCTGCAGATGCATCTGGGACCAACGGCTTAACGTGCCTTCTTTAGCACGAAGGAGCTCGAGATAGTAAACTTTTGATTACCCATCCAATGACCGACCACTGTGAAAGTTCTATCAGCTGCAGATGCATCTGGGACCAACGGCTTAACGTGCCTTCTTTAGCACGAAGGAGCTCGAGATAGTAAACTTTTGATTACCCATCCAATGATCGACCACTGCGAAAGTTCGCGTCACCGCAAGTGGTCGGTCAGTGTTATCGCAGCCGGACAACGCGCTAACCACTTGCACCATAGAGCTCCTCAAGAATCGACGATTAATAGTGAATAATATGAAATCATAAAGCTTAGGGAGATTCTAGGAACTGAAAGTTCTTTAAATCTTAAGATGCATTGTAGCTACAACAGTTTTAATAACAACATGAGACAAAACTTATTTCGAGACAAACTATTTTTCAGTTGAATTTCAAATGTAGGTATGTTCAGTTTTTTGATAGTTTTGTATGTGTGTATGTTGGTGCGAATAAAGTTTTTATTTATATATCTATCTATCTTCTGATAGAACACAAAAGAGTCTATAATACTTGCATATTTAATTCATTTTTTCAGCTCAGTAATCTCATGCGCTATCAACTATTAAAATAATATACTAACAAATTGAGTCTTCTCCTTTTTAGGGTTCCGTACCCAAAGGGTAAAAAGAAAACCTTATTGCTGTCACTCTGTCTGTCTGTCTCTGACAGTCAGACAGACGACGCAGGTAGTTAGATTATAAACGGAAAGAGATATAGAACTAAAATTATGGTTGTTTATGTATGCTTGCCCGAAGCCGAATGTTTAGTTAAAAATGTTTTCATGAGTGCAAATATTAAAAGAAGAAGTCTTTTTTGACATCATTGCCTAGAGCTCATTGAGCAGAAAATAAACTTTTATTTTTGTTTATTTATTTAATCTTTAATGCCTTATATGCAAATGGCGGACTTGATGCCAATATGGCATTCTCTACCAGTTAACCGGAAAGAACGTGCAGAGCGAATATCATCATCATCATCATCAGCCTATTAATGTCCCCACTGCTGGGGCACAGGCCTTCCCTATGGATGGAATAGGGAGATTGGGCCATGACCCACCACGCGGGCCCAGTGCGGATTGGTGAGCGAATATAACGGCAAAGATTTAAAACAAACGTCAATTACGTGGAAATCGTATTTAATTAGTTTTCCTAACAGTGGGGAAGTCAAAGTTCTAATTTTTCGAGCATTTTTTATTTATTTATTTTCTAAGAAAACCAACAGCGTTTTTCCGATACAAAATTTACAATAGGTACATTTCTAAAAGTATGGCCAATGACAGGTTTTCCTTAACTAGATTAACCATAGGTGACTTATCATTGGTACTTCTATCCTTAACAAGCGATCTTGAAACAATCCATCCGTATATAATCGTGATGTAATCTTATAAAAGTAGTAGGTATAAATATCTATACTTATAATAAATCTGTAGAGGGGTCAATTCTGTACATGAAATATATTTTCAAAATAACTATCAGGGGGTGATTAGTGGTCGATACTGATGCCAAAAATGCAATCAGTAAAATTTTTGTCTGTCTGTCTGTCTGTGTGTATGTTCCTTATAGAAACAAAAACTACTCAACGGATTTTAACGAAACTTGGTACAATTATTCTTCATACTCCTGGGAAGGTTATAGTATACTTTTCATCACGCTACAATCAATAGCAGCAGAGTAGTGAAGGGAAATGTTGGGAAAACGGGAGAAGTTACTCCATTTTTTAAGCTTCCGTCGCGTGTGCAGCCTTAATGGGTAAAGTTACATAGAAATCATGTATGACAGAAATATTCTACATAAAATTGTCTAAAAAATATCCCGCAACAGCATATGTCTATCTTATATGGTTGACTCACAATAACACGTGTAATTATATAAATAAAGTCATTGTTTATAGCACAAACCTGAGAACAAAAACTATAGTTTACACTACAGCTCTACACCGAAGCGAAGCGAGGGCGGGTCACTAGTCATAAATAAAATGTAATATTTACACATATACATAATTATACTAAATATTCAATGGATATATAAGGGGTCTACCTCAAAATCGAGAATGTGTTACTATGGCTGATCTCCCATATGCAAATACTAAAAACGCCGATATAATAATATTTTTTTTTTCTTCAATTACAAGCTAGGTGATAACAAAGATAATGCATGATGCAGAAAAGTATCTATTATTATATATGTACATAATATTCATACGCCATTTCATGTATTTTGTAAGTTGTGACGAAAAATAAAAACAATTGATTTTTCCTTTCACGGTTTGTTACGATGAGCTCGCAAACGAACTATTTCATATCAGTGATGTTAGGATATCGATAATCTTCAATAACAGGATTAGTTCAATACACGGAACCCTAATAAAGCAAGGCCAGACTCGCACTTGGCCAGGTTTTAAATCAATTATAATGGAATTTCTCAAGGTAACATCTAACACCCTGAAGTATTCAATAAAGCTTCTTTTATAAACACCTTGTAATTGTGAGTGCAACGATCGGGGGGTTTTACCTATCACGTCCTTTTTGTTAGTTTCTAAAGACAATAATACATTAATTCTACGGTAAAACCGATGCCTTAATTAGAGTTTCTCATTATTGAGCAAGTAAGTACTTTGTTTTATAAAAGGCTTGCCATAATCATGGCTCCATTTTAAACTACAAATCCATTATTCCATTAAGCTGCCCACCCACAATCACTCACAATAACACTCACATTTACATACACCACACACACACATATATAACCTTGCGCACACGCATGAAATACTATCATTTTAATGACTAGTTAATTTAAATATGGTTCTTCTTTCAAATTTTAATACTTGTAAAAGTATTCATTTGACATTGTGGGTTACCTATAATGCGAAGAGATGGCGCTGCCTTGCAGCTTAAGAATGGCTAGAAGAATTTCGACGCGGTCCGTGTGGGCCGCGGTAGCATAATTGGTCAGTGCATTCGCCCGGATTGCGAAGGGTGCGGGTTCGAGTCCCGTCTGCTGCCTGGTCCGCGCGGATTTTTTTCTAATTATATTTTCTTTAGATTTAAACATCAAGCAGTTACATGCTTTAAAATAATAAAAATTATAATGGTTAATAAAATTTAAATCATTCTCTATTTTAAATTTACTTAAATAATATTTTACCTATATTGTTTGTTTTTTGTATGTTATGGAACTTCAATGTACTCTCAGAGGTGGACGACTATTAAAGTTGCCACACAGTTTTTATAACCAATGCAATTTTACTATCGTGCTCATTTATTGTATTTATTGTCTTTGTTCCAATAAAATACATTTCATTTATTTTATTTATTTATCTTTAACAAAGTTTCTACAGCGCTTTTTTGTGAAATTTAATACAATAAAATATAGATACAATCTTTAGGCCAATTACAGAAACTCAATACATAATAGATACTAGATACTAACGGCGTTATTATATGTCAGTAATTATTACATTCCATTTAATTTAATTTCATTTAAAAAATTGTATAAAATTCATTTAATTCACTAACATAAAAATAATTAAATAAAAGTTAAGATTGGACAAAACATAACAAAAAAAGAAAAAAAAAAGAAAAACATTTTAAAATTAGAGACATATATATTTCTGTTAAGACAAGCCTTTGATACTTGTAGCTCGTAAATGTATTGCGGAATTGGTCTACTATACGTACTAATAAGAGAGGTAGGGCATTACCTCAACCTCAACTTTGGCTCATACATTGAGTCCAAGGCCCAATTAGCAGCCAAGAAGTCGGGTATCCCCCCGAAGGTGCAACGATACTTCAAGCCGGAACAGTTGCTTACATTATATCAAGCACAAGTT